CATGTATTGTCATGTAAATGATACTTAAGAGTTTATTATTTATACAACTATTTAAAGATTTTTAAATTTATTTTTAAAAAAATATGTGTAAAGATAACATTTGATATGATATAAATTACATGAGAAATAATTAAGTAGGAACTTATTTAAAAAAATATTTTAATCGTGGATAAAAAAATAAAATAAGAATACATGCAAAAAATATATTTTTAGAAAACACATAAAAAGTTAAAATGTAAAAATATTCAAAAAAATAAAAAATATTTAAAAAGTAAAAAATAAAAAAAAAGTAAAAAAAAAAAGAAAAAAAAGAGAGCTAAAATGATGAATTGCCACGTGAGATTCTCATATAAAAGAATTTTAACTCTTTTATATTTATTAGATTAGATTAGATTAGATTAAATTAAATTAAATTAAATTAGATAGATGATTAGGCCTCTATTTAGTTCATACTTGTATCTCTAAACAAGCCATACATTTTTTATTTTTTATCAACTTTTTTTCAATTTTTTTCTTTTTTCATTTCTTCTCACTGGGCAAAGAAAGGTAAGGAAAACGACAGCTAAGTCCTTTTTCCAAGTTCTCTCTTTCAATTTTTTCCCACTTCCCCGAGCTTCTTCTGCTCTCTCCAGCCTTTTTTGTTTTTTTTTGTTTTTTGTTTGTTTTTTTTTTTTTTTGGGTTTCGCTGCGTAGTTTCCAATAAAATCACGTTTCTCTGTCGCTCGCTCTCTTCATTCGATTTTCCATTTTATATCTAATCTCTCCCATTTCACTCTCTGCCTCTCACATGCACATCAGACACATTTTAGAGAGAGAAAGAGAAGAGAGATGTTTTCTTCTCAGTTGCAGAGCTTTCAGCCATTGATTCTCTCTCCACCACGAGGCCGTCGACTCAACCGTTTCTCATCGAAGAGGAGAGAAGAAGAGAGGTATTGCCGACGATTCTCGTTCCTTTTCTTTCTCGATCAAAAGATTATTTTTCTCTTCGTCTTCAATCAATTCTCTCACGCGTAATGGCGTTTATGCCGATTTTCGATTCTTTGCTCAGTTGATTGTATCGCATTGTTTCGCCTTCGTGTTTTGCGAACATAAGCTTCAAAGTTTTGAGCTTGAGATCGCTCTTCGGAAGAAGAAAACGGTTCAATCGCGATTCAAGTTTAGATTTTTGATGGTTTTCTTTGTACTAATTCTGAAATTGGATGTGAATTATGTTTTTGAGTTTGATAATGAATGATACGGAGTGATCTGATTTTGTTCAGGTGTTGTGCTTTTCAAAATTGTAGTGAAAAATTAAAATTTGAATATTATAAGGATAGCCGTTAGAAGCAGGAAAGCTTGTGTAATAGTCGTTATAAGTTATAACCTTTGTTATTGTTCTTCCTCTTTTGTGTTTCTTAATTGAGTAGATTTTCTTTTGGTAATATGAATGGTAAATTATAGTAAAATTTGAAGAATTATAATATCTACGCTCTTAGTTCTTATTTAAAAAAAAAAAGAGAAAAAAAATGGCGGTTAGGGTTGAGGACCTTGGAACGTACTGGGTTAAACAAACGAGACTTTTAAAGCAGAAGTTTGGTAAAGGAATGGTTCTGGTTGGTCCAAGGGAAGTATCCTCCTGTTTTAACATGGGGTACTTGAATGAGAAGGAAAGTTAAGGTGGTTAAGTGTAGGAAAACCTCAAGATTTGGTTCTTTTTGGAAGTTAATCTGGTGGACAGTGCTTCACCTTTTCTTTATAGCTTCTTGTTATGGGTTTCTCTGCTCTAAGAGGTAGATTGGCGTAGCATTAAGGTAGATTCAAGAGTCAAGAGCCAAACAGTCAAGAGTATTCTTTATAATCACTAATCGAACTCTTGAGTATTCAATGAACAATATTGAAGTATGTCATAAGTATGCTGACATGTAAGTTCACGTTTCATATCGTATTTGAAATTATGTCAGATGCACTTCCCAGTGCCTCTTTTTTTCTTCTTTTTTTTTTCTTTTTCTTTTTCCCTCTCAATGTCTGAGGATGCTTCATATATTATTCGATTTACCAAGACATATTCCATCCTAATATGAGGTGCATTTACCCTGAATTATATGGAGAGCTATACTTATATAGCGTGTTTATCTTGACAAGATACTTTTTCAGGGACTCAACACTAAGCCAATTTCAGTTGATTGCAAGTTCAAAGTTACAAGTGCGATATTTTGTCACACAGCATACAGGTAGCTTATCATCTCTTTACATCAGTATGCATCAATATTTGTGATGTATAAGTTCCATACTTTTGGCTCTTGGGGGTGAAAGGTCGACCAAAAGTTTCATGGATGGTTTTTGTTTTCTTCTTTGCTGTCAGTTAATTTGTGTCAAATGTGATATGATTAATGCCTTATATTAGATATTCTCTTTCTAAAAACGATTTCTTACATGTGCTATGATAACCTGTTTACAGGAAAATGGAAGGCCAGTTCCCAATGTAGAACAGGCAGGTTGAGTTCCTGTATGCATACAAATGTTGCAGATGATTCGGCTACCAAATTCTCCAAGGTGGACCAGGATAGTTGTTTCAAGGTGAGAATTGGTGCAAGAATCTGGAACATACAAGAAAATAAACAGAATGTTCTTCTTAGTGACACTGAAAAAAAAAAAAAAAGAAACAGATTTGCTTCTAAGTACCTATTAAGCTTCGTTCCAAGCATCTTGTAAAGGATACTCTAATTGCTACGGCAATGTATTTCTTTGCTTTTTTGCCTATTTCTTACAACTTCTAGGACCGGTATGCAGGACGTTGTTCTGGTTTTGCTTGTGTTTAAAGATGAAAACTTGTACCTTTTAATGTACTTGGCTGTGTTCTCTTTGGATCTTCATTTGTGTGTAGCTCAGTAGTGGTTATTTCCCTGTTTCCAAAAGTTGTAACCACAATGAACAAAATCATTATACACTCTGTTCTTATATTATTGTAGCATGACGTTTCTAAACTTATGCATTCAATTCATGTTATGCTCCTGATAGCAATAATTTGTATGCAATTTGTTGATGTAGTCACTGTATGTGGATGTGCAGTATCACAAAGCAAAAGTGGCGGCAGGCTTGGCATCCTCATATTTCCTTCTCAGATTGAAGAAGTCAAATCTTTTCGTTACTTTCCTAAAGGTGGTCCATGAGAAACTTCCCTACGTGGTTCAAACTTTTGGAGCAGCAACCTCACCTTTTGCTTGTGTTTCAAATTCCTTGAACAAACCCATGCCTCTTAAGTTGGATGTATCTTTGCCGTCATTTCAAGATATTAGATGGAGCTTTGCACGACTGCTGTATTTATTTAATGTGCAACTTGAGAGAAATATTGCCACGTAAGTGAAGTATATAACTCACTCCTACTTTATCATCCTGCATCTTCTAATGACTAGTCATATCTTTTGTTCCTAAGCCGTTTGGCTCAGTTTAATTTTTGTGAGAAGATTTGGACAGAGAATAATTTATCAAAATGGTACCATTATTTTGTAAATAGAATGTTTGTAGTTCATGTATGTTCTTGTCAGATGTGAATATAGTAGCATGGTTTCAATTGCACAATTGTGGCATACTTGGCACTGTTAGCTTCTGAAAATTGTGGAAAAGATGAAGATTGCAGTATCATATATGATTACATGGTCAATCTGTACTCATATGCTGTTTGTTGGGGGGAGAAACTCTTATTCATGGATGTTGGTATCATATAGGGGTGTTCAACCAATCCAATCCAACCTGTTTTGGTCATATAACAACCAATCCAATCAAAACTCGGTTTTTAAAAATTACTTCCAATCCAATTACTAGTGTATTATCCAATCCAATCCGATCTGATTAAGGTTGGTTTGGATTGGATTGGACTAATCGGTTTTTTACTTGAGCTTTTTGTACATTTTTTATTTTATTTTTCTGTTCAACCTATTTGTTAAAGCTTTTTGATAAAACTTAAAATACTGCAATTGAAAAAATGAAGCAAGAATTAACATTCATAAATCCAAAAAAAGTATATAAACTCCAAATTACTTCAAAGTTGATTAAACATCTAACAAACTACTTAAAGAAATTAAAATAAAGTTACAAACTGATAAACATAAAAAATTTAGCAAAAAAGAATAATGAAAAACATTAAAAAAAAGTGTCTAGGAGAAAAATAGAATTTAAATTTTGGATCAGTAATATAAATACATATTTTTATATAATATATAAAGGTTGGATCGGTTTGGATTGGATGTTTTAAAAGTAAAATTACAATCCAATCCAATCACATATTTTTATATAATATATAAAGGTTGGATCGGTTTGGATTGGATGTTACAATCCAATCCAATTCAATTTGGTTTTTAAGAATTCACATCCATCCAATTCAATTGAGGTCGGTTATTCGACAAAAATGGATTGGATTGAATATGGACCGGTCAGTTTGATCGGTTGATTAGATGCGATGAACACCCCTAGTATCATAATTAGTAGCTAGGATAGGCTCAATATTCTCCTATATTTTGTTCAAATACTATAAAGTCTTACATTCCTTCTTCTTCTTCTTCTCTCTCTCATTTTTTTCTTTTTTTTTTTTGGAGGTTTTCATGCCTTCAGTGACTCCACTGTTGTTTAGTGTTAGTTAACACAGAACTTTTGACAGATTGTATTTATCACTGATTGATGACATAATGGATCAATTTGGTAGCTTTATAGGTACTTAATGAAGCATGCATGAAACTGATATCTCGTATTTATGTTTGCAGATGGCTGAATTGTTATGTGGGATTTTTGTAGGTTCTTTATCGTGCTCCTTGTAGCATGCTTCTCATTTGTAATGATTGGTGGCTTTCTGTTCTTCAAGTTCAGGTAGCTCTTCTTTACTTCCTTTCAGAAAAGCTTATGTTTCTATGGGATAGCATGCTTCATTTTGTCCAACGCTGTTTTATTAGTTTAGCGAGAATTCTGCTTTCTAAAATCCAGGCAGGATGACTTTTGAAAGATTATTATTCTCTTCTTTTTGTTCCTTTCTCTTGTTGTTTTCTAAGTCTGAAGTGTGAAAAGGCAATAATAAGATAAGATATGACCGTGCGCACAAGTTGAAACTGTGTATATTGACCACCAGCACCGCCTCTTGCACCCTTTGGGGCATGCATAATTTCTGGCTTGGATTGTACCTTTGATGTCGTCTAGTGCAGACTTGCAGTCCTCCATCTCTACATTGTTTGGGGCGTTTAGAAAATTTTATTTTTAGTCTTTAGACATCGTTTCCTGCAATAACACTTATGCCTTTGGTTTGGGATATGTGTTTTAGAGAAAACAGGGGTAGTACACAATCTTTGGAGGACTGCTTTTGGGAGGCTTGGGCATGTCTGTGTTCATCCTCAACTCATTTAAAAGTAAGATTGTGTCTTATTGTGTGTAGCCTGATGCATTTGATAATTTTTTAATGTTCTTACAGGGCATAGATGAGTTTATGTTATATGTTAAGGATGTTTCTACGCTGTAAATTGCAGCAAAAAACACGTATTGAACGTGTTATTGGCTTTATTCTTGCTATATGGGGAATATTGTTCTACTCTCGTCTGTTGAGCACAATGACCGAAGAGTTCAGGGTAAGCCCTTTAAACAAGAAACAGTAGCATTAATGATTTACACACACGCAAGGCGTCCTATTTACTGTCATTTGGACAGAACAATATGCAAAAGCTCAGAGAAGGGGCACAAATGCAAGTTCTGGAGTCTGATCATATCATTGTTTGTGGAGTCAACTGTCATCTGACTTTCATACTGAAACAACTAAATAAGTATCATGAATTTGCTGTGCGCTTAGGTACTGCTACAGCTAGGTAATCTTTTCTCGTACAGGCCAAATATTTTCTGTGCAATTATCTTTTTAGTTTAACTTACTGGCTTCTTTGACTCCTTTTGTTTCATAGAAAGCAGAGGATTCTTCTTATGTCAGATCAGCCAAGGAAGCAGATGGACAAACTAGCTGACAACATTGCTAAAGATCTTAACCATATTGATGTCCTTACGAAGAGGTATGACTACTAGGTAATTTTCATTCTGCTTTTGTTTTTTTTTAATCTACTTGCGCCAAGTGATCGTTTGTTCATTTACTTCCTTTTCTTTGAGTTTTCCCTTGACTTGGTCAAGATCCTGATGGAACCCCTGTGAGAGAATAGGGTAACATGAGTTAGGGCTGTGAGTTATGTTTTTATGATCAGTAAACTATTTACTTTCATCTGATTAAAAGAGCACAGCAGTTTCTATTATTTGGGAAATTCGGTTATCCCTGGATTTAATTATTTCTCTAGAATAAGTTTTTAACTTTCAATTACTTGTATTTGATTTAAAAAGAATTGTTTATGAATGAGGTACTTCTGGTCTCATATATTGACGTTATCTTGTTACAGTTGCAGTCTTAGCTTGACAAAATCGTTTGAAAGGGCTGCTGCCAATAAGGCTCGTGCTGTAATTATTTTGCCAACAAAGGGAGATCGGTAAGAACTTGTTCACTCAAAAAGTTACATTTTCAAATGCCATATTTGTTAGAACCTGCTTTCTATACAAATCATCTTTAAGCTTATATCAAAGTTGATTATTTGTTGGGTAATTAAGTTCTTAAATTTAGTAGGTAAACGATGAGCTCAATGGACCATAGGTTTATAACATTAAGCATTATAGCTAGTAGGTTATTAAAAAAATATGTTCTCCCAATTAAATTTAAAGAAGTAGGAATTCTTTCCCTAAGAATAATGCAGTTCTAGATTTCTTCTTACTGGACATGCTAGGCCACAATGATGGAGTTTGTTTTTCCATTCAAGAAATGTTCAAGTCTGTTAGGATCCTGAAAATCTATGCTTCACTAACAATACTAGAAATGGAAAATTACAAGATAGATGGGTGGTTTCAAGGACCCCCGACCTCCAAAATAGTGCACAGCACTAGACACTCTCTACAAATCTGATTCTCCCCCTCCCTAACAACTAAACCCCCTATTTATACTCCCCTTAAGACTATTGAAAAAGACTTCTAAATATTAGGTTCCTAACATTACCCCCGCCCCAAAGAATCACCTTGTCCTTAAGGTGAAAATCAAGAAATAAAATTAAAAAATAACATCTAAATGATTAAGAACAAAAGGCTTTGTTAGTTCCTTGATTTGAGTTCCCAAATTGATGTTGTCCTCGTAAGTCACATCTTCAAATTGGAGCCAATCAATTACTTTCTTCTCCATTTTCTTTGTATCTTGAAAAGCAACCACAAAGTCTATTAATTCATTTGAAACTCTTTGCACAAGCTCATCAATGGTCACAAAAATATTGGCAAATCAATCCTCACTACGGGAGTTTCCTTCTTAGCCAACCAGGACATCAACCTTTCAGCCTCACTCTCACCAATTTCTTCATACTCAGTTGCAATCGTACCATTCCTAACCCCAAACATGTTAAAGTTTTGAGGCATGACTGCCATTGCACCAGAATTAGGCCAATTAACGTTGTAATTACGAGGCCCAACCCCAAAATTGACTCTGCCCATACCAAAAACACTAGACTCAGCCCACTTCCGAACAGAATTTTGGGATTCAGCCCCAAAATCGCCGGATTTCGCGTTGGAATTCCACGTCCTGGCCATCATCTCGCCGGAGCTAGCCCCAATGGCGTCAAAATCACAAAACCCAGCCTTAAGGGCGTCGGAATTCATGGGTCCCACTCCAATTCCGCCAGAATCTGCCTCCGTGGCATCGAAACCAGCCCCTTTCACGCCGGAATTGCGATGGCACGGAACCCAGCCCCTTTCACGCCGGAATTGCGAAGCCCAGTCCAAACCGAGCCGGAATCAGCCCCAACCTTGCTGGAAACACCCTCAACAGCGTAAGAATCATGAGACGCGCTCCAAATTTGGCCGGAATTTTTGAAAACAACACCAATCTCACCGGGATCAGCCTTAATCGAGTCAGAATTGCGAGACTCCACTACAATTCCGCCGGAATCTGCCTCTGTAGCACCGAAATCAACCCCTTTCACGCCAGAATCGTGAGGCCCTATCCAAACAGCAGCCAAATCGTCGAGCCCAGCCTCTGTCGCTCCGGCA